ATTTTTTGACACGTTAGCATAACCCAGGTGGGATTAGGAGCGCGTTCACATCCCACGTATCCGCTCGCAGCGTTTGGGGCCACTTCTGATGCGTGACTCATTGGATGGTTAGAGAAACGTCTTAAACGGCTCCATCAAGCTGTCGGATCTACGGCGGCGTGAGCAAGCAGCCGGCTTTTGTTGTAAATGTTTCCTGCGGCTGAGTCACTGTTTCATTTTGACACAAACATTAAGAGCAGTTTTAAAAACCGTCCTCGTAGCCCGAAGAATCGATGATGTTTGGAAGAAAGCGTCTCCTGTAACGCCGCTCACAGCCACGGCGTTTCAATGCTGTCACATTTAAATGTTTTATAACTGAAGTATTTATAGACGCATAAGATATGGAACGTTTTGTTTGAGTCACAGGAACTCTCCTGTTCATCCACCAAAATAAAAGCATTTAAGCTTCCTGCGTTGTGTTTAACCACTCTGTCCAATGAATGGTAGACAGACGCCTGCAGGCGGAGCTCACATCCTCAGTTTATGGTTCAGCTGCTCAGCTGTGAGATAGCTAACCTGTGCATGAAACATTTCTCTGTCACCACCAGGGGGCAGAGTTTCACCTGCAGCTGCGATGTCACCGCGGAGCTAAGTGGTGACATTTAGCTCGATTTAGTGATTTTGATTCTCTCTCCCCAACCAATCACAGCAGATGGCCCCGCCCCTCCCTGAGCCTGGTTCTGCTGGAGGTTTCTTCCTGTTAAAAGGGAGTTTTTCTTCCCACTGTGGCCAAAGTGCTGCTCATAGGGGGTCATATGATAGTGGGGTTTTTCTCTGTATCATTGTAGGGTCGACCTTACAATATAAAGCACCTTGAGGCGACTCTTGTTGTGATTTGGCGCTGTGTAAATAACACTGAATGAACTGAATGTGTTGGATGGAGCTGACACTGCTGCCTGTGGCGTTGAGCTAAAGCACAGCCCAGCTCTGGTTCCACATCAGCTGATATCTCTTCAACACAATACACTGATGTGTATTTTTAAATAAGCTTTTCTGCAGTTTGAAGCTGACATAATGTGCAGCAGCACAAAATCTGATTAGTTGAAATGTGTCATGTGATTTTTGGGGCCTTGTGGGAGTCGTGTACAGGTGTCTGTGACCTGAGCTGTCAATGTCTTCTTCTGTGGTGTGTTTTTGGTTCAGGACAACCACAAGCTGAGCTACATCCAGCAGCTGCGGCCCACTCAGACGGTCCAGCCCCGGATCAAACTCAAGCTCTTCGGACACTCGGGAGCCGGGAAGAGCACGCTGCTGGAGTCTCTGAAGTGCGGCATCCTGCGCAGCTTCTTCAGGAGGAGGAGGACGCGCATGACAAACGCGGCCCGGCACCCCAACTCGCCCGTCAACTCCAAACCTCCCGGTAGGTGACAGACAGGTGGAGTCGCGTCGTCAGCAGCTCAGCATTAATGCTTTCACTGCCGCAGCGGTTAGCACCGCCCCCTCACAGCAAGAAGATCCTGAGTTTGTGCAGGTACAGACAGGTGTGTGTCACCTGGTGACAGCTCTGAAAGGCTCCACCCCCTCCAATCACCCTTCGGCTACACATGCCAATGTTGTTTGGGAAAAGCAAAGAAAGGCACACAGAGACTCCTTCGTTTATTTGGAGGAGTGCAGTTAATCCCTCGCACATCTGTCTCAGAAAACTTCAGCGTGAGTCATTTTATTAAATGTCTCGTTTTATCCACGTTGTAGCTGTTGTTGCTCTGATGTGAACATGAGCCCTCACAGTCTCGTACTGAGATGCAGTTTGAATCTCACAGGGTGAAATTGATAATAATCCTCTGGAGTAAATGATAGATGAGCACAAATGGAACCACTGTCTGCTGAGGGAAACAGTTCAGGTGCTGCTCTGAGGCTCGGAGATCTTGAGGTCTGTGAGGTGTTCGTGGTTTTCAGGAAAGTGCAGTGACGACGTGTTCAGTGTCTGCCTGCCTGCCCTCCTCTCCCCTTTAGCTGCTCTGTTATGCGCCGCTTGCAGCCATTACGTGACGCCCGGGCTGATAACGGTCAGGTGCGTGAGCCGACTCCTCCATCTGTGAG